AACCAGCAAACTTTTTGACTGCAAGATTTGTTCTAGGTTTAAGCAATGAAAGGGGATTTATTGTGAAAACACACTGTTGAGTCTAAGACTATAAATATTACACTAGATTACAGTCTCTTAATGAATGAATGACAGATCTCTTGTTTTTGTTTCTTGTTGCATTTTAATGTTAAATTATATTGTGGGTTGACAGAAACCAATCCTCTGCTGTTAAAATGTCAAACACAGCCTTGATACCTTTAAAAGTTCAGCTTCTGGAGTTTAATATACTGTTTGCAAATAGACTTGCATTTGTCTTTAATTGTAACCTAAACACTTGAACCAGAGGCTGGATTCCTGTAAAGCAGACTCTAGTTTTTTATAGTCATATACAGTGTTCCCCTTGTACAAACAAGAGAGAAAACAGCAGCACATTGTCTTTGTCAAAAGATACCCAGTTCATAAGAATCTTATGAGGCTACTGTTATCATGAAGTAATTGACCATGTTACTATAGATGGTTAAGTATCCTAAGGTGAAATCAGAGAATGCTTTGTGCCAAGGCTAAATACAGTATCAGATAAACCTCATTGGAAGGAGATAGAATTGCAGTTCCTATTTACTGTCTCCAATTTACAGAGAGCATCAGATAATCTTTGCTCACAACTCTGTCCAATGTTCTGTTTTCTGGCCAGAATTTCGGGTTTGCTTTGTTTTTGTTTTAAAAGAATGAGAAGAACACAGAAAAATAGGATATGGGATATTTGCTCCAGATAAAGTTTCTAGCTATTTTGATAAAATCATATGAAAACACAGAGATGAGCATTAATCAACAAGGTGGGCAAAATTCCTTTGCAATTCCACAGACATTTTTATTCATGTGTACATTGTATTACATTGCTGATTGTGGTTTTGTAATAACTGAATCCAGAGAGCTGACACAGAAGCAGAGCCATGGTTCAAATGATAATTCTTTGTTACAGAAGAAATGCAATAAAAATAAAATAAGAACAGATATATAAATCACAAAAATCTACTGACTGAAGCGAAAGAGATCAACATCATGATCTGAGGAATCCAAATCTATCTCCATTCCTCTTGCTTCTGAACAACGTATCACTAGTCTGGTAAATAGAGTGGATCCAACTACCACAATTCCCAGTTTTTATTTTGGCTCTTGTGTGAACAGAACTTTAAATATTCTATTTACAGGTAATGCTGTACTGGCTAATTACATTATGCAAAAAAATCTTTCAAAACAGCCTGGCTTTATATTCTTAATACCTACTGCTCATAAACAGCCTGAGCTGCAGTTTTGCCTTCTGAAGCAAGCTGCTTATTTTCTAAACATACATACAAATTTTGCTCCTCCTTCAAGTATCTTACTTCCCATTTCTATAATGGCTGGTGGGACATTTTTAGAATACCTAGTGAACTCCTACTTGGGTGAATTTTGCTAGATGAATTCTGTGTAGCTAATAAAGAAAAACACACATCTAAACATCTAGGTTTTTTGGGTTGGATCATGACTTAGTTATACTTAGAGTAAACTGATGAAAACCAAAGGGTCCTTCATTAGTCTGGACTAAGTTCCTTTGCTTTTAATCAGTCTTCTTCTAAGCGTGATTAAGTCCAGATCTAACTCATTATATTGATAGCAAAGTGCTCCCACTGAATATACAAGCAGTGAGAGAGAACATTAATGGTTAATGTGCCCTGCTAAAATCTTGGCTAATAGTGTGGAAAACATAGTATGATATTCTTATCTCTGCTGTGAAATTGAATACCTTTTGAATTTTCTAGCATTGTTTATATATCTGAATGTCCTACTTGCTTTTAGAACTTATACATGCAAAATGATAATATAATGTGGAATTTGGCTTCTAACAAAAGTCAGGTGCATACAAAAATACTTTTTACCAAATGGTGACTTGCATAGCCAAGTCAACTTCTTGGATAAGCCAGCTAACTTGTCCTGCTAAGTAATGAGGAAGATTTAACAACAGTTCTGTACCTGAACTAACAACTTAGAGGAATAGTGAAACTTTCCCATATCAAGAATTTACGTGCACATGACATGATAAATGGTCAAGTGTTTTCACCCAGACATCATGTAGCTATATATTAAGAGGCAGAATTTACCAGACTGTGTGTTTGTGCCCATCTAGATCTTTCTTTGGTGAAATGTAAAAGCATGGCTGTTCTCATAGATGTGTCTTGATTCATTTTCCCATTTTCTCAACCACTACATGCCCCAGCAAATGAAACTCATCCAAAATGCAATTTTCTTCTCAAAAGTGAGAATGGGCATGTGAAATGCCTCCAAGGTACAGAACAATGAATGAGCTTTGCCAAGTCAAACAGAAAAGGTAGGCAGTTCTACAGCTCGCTATCACCAGACTCCCTTTTTTTGTCTAGAGCAGTGAAGGTCAAGTGCTTAAGTCTACATTGATGTATGGCCACTTGCAAATCAACAAAGACAAAGAAGTTCTGTACATTGCCTTGGATCCAAATTTAATTCTATTTGGAGTAGACCACTGTAATCAATGGAATTTGCGTTGGGCATGACTAATTTAAATGTCATTTATTGCTGTGAGTACTCGCAATATGAGTACTCTCATATGACCAAGTCAGGATCCAACTTATTTCTTCCATGTTCCTAAAGTTTAAAGCAAGGATTGATTTTTTTGTCACTACACTACAGCGACTAATGTGGAAAACTGAGTATTTTACACCCATTCAAGGCATTTAATTACGCAATGCACCAACTGTTTCTTTTGTAAACGCTTTTTAGAAGTGTCTGAGGCAAGCATGGCTAGTAACCCACCTGCCCCACCTTACAGCAGTCTTACCAGATTGCTTCATTCCAAAACCTTAGAAAAGCTAATATGATAACCTGGACCACTGAGATTTCACTAAGTCAAATGAGCACTATCCACAATCTTCATAAAATACACATCCAGTTGCAGTCCCTGGTTAGAAGATGCTTGGCTAACACTTGTATTAACTGGTTGCTCATTTGGGAATTCCTCAGCCCACTGTTGGATGGAATATGCTTCAAAAGTTCTACACGTTTCATAAGAGAAATGTAAGAGTAACAATAATTGTCCTTTTTTGTCAAAGTGAGAAACACTTCACTCGGCTGTTTATAACAGCATGTTTCCACCTCTGGAGAAACAGAGAGGGTGGGGATCAAATGACAGGTGTGTTAATGAGCGTCTGCAGCAGGGATCTTAGTTTTTACTACTTTCTTTGTTTTTTACTACCCTTTATCTGGAACAGAACCACTATGTCTTGGGATAGCAGATAGCAGTTTAAAACCTTCCCTCTCAGCCACCTGATACCTGAAATTTCCCTTCCCAGTAGCATATTGGGGAAACAATGGGTTGGAAGAACTAAGCTTCCCAGCTTGATGGATGCTGGTTCCAATCTGGACTAAGGCTGTACACACTCTAGCATAAAAACAGAGAGGGGTCAGCTGCATGCTGCATGATTAATGTGTAGCTTGGCTGAGATCTATAGAAAGAAGTTCAACTAGTTCATAAATATATAGATATTTACAGACTGCAGCAGGCAAGCCAGCACTGTGTATTAAAATGGCAAATCAGTAATTCACGAAGTATTACATATAAGGGCACTAATCGTAAAAGACGAAAACAGAAAAGACAGTACGTATTTGCCTTATTGTGCAATAATGCATTAAATTTGTGTCTAAGAACTTATTTTATCTCCACTCTTCCCTTTTGTAATTCTTACACCAAAAGAAGTGCTATGTGCACACAGAAGTAGAAGTATATATAAAATGGTATACATGATAATCTTACGTGGTCTCAGTCATATTCCCCCATCCACATCCCTCAGGCTTCTTACAGCAAACCTGGTTACATTTTAAGAGCCACTAAGTTGCATGTTCTTTCTGAACACTCATAAAAGTTATTTTCTGCATGGCCGAGTATCTTATTACTTGGTGTTTAACGTTTTAGTCACTTTCTCTGCATCATTTAAGGAAAAAATTGAATACAAAAAGGCAAATGTTCATATGGCAGTAAAAGAATAGGATTAAACACAGTTCTTTTGTAAATTCCTTAATTATTTAGAACATGAATATAGTGTTTTGTGACAATAAAGAGGTTCATGTTGCTAGTTACATTTTTGAAAGCAGAAAACATGCCATTGAAATGGTAGAATTAAACTAGCTTTGCTCTGCTGAAGAAGGCTTTTATCAGTAGAACGGGGTGTGAAATTCAACTATCCATCTTCCTCCCTGTACCTCTCTACTCCTTCAGCCTGTTCTAGAAATTTTGTGCCTATATTTGGTGCAGGACTGAGGAAGATTTCTGAAAATCACAGCCCTCCCCTTTCTGCTGATGGAAGGCTTCCATCAGTGGAAGGAACCTAGTCGTGTTTTGCCCAAACTGATACACATCCAAATTTAACCCAGCCCAGCCTGCAAAGCAGTAAACCCAACTTGAGATCTGCCATGTGCCTATCAATCAATTTATTATTTATGGCAAAACAAAAATTCAAGTTGAGCTACAAAGTGAGTACTACCCTTTGCAAAACATAAAAAATTAAAAATTGCTTTATCCTGAATGTTTGCTCTCATTACGAGAGAATGTCTCTTGCATTTCATCTGACATTACTATTGTAGGTTACCCTAAATACTCCCCATTGCAGTACATGAAAACCATAAAACTTATTCCTTCCCACATCTTCACTTCTACACTTTAAAAAGTCTACATAAATATTCCAGTAAGCCTACTGAAAACCAACACCCAGCATCTCTTCCTGTCATTCTGCTTCTTTTAGCAACTTTTAATGCTTCAGATGTTCACAGAGTGAGCATGTTTCTTGCACAGGGGCTTGTCTTTTTTGGAGAAGAAACTTTGCCCCTCCAGACTGTCACAGCATACCTGAAATAACATGAAAAATTATTAAAAGTTTGTAATTCCAAACATTATCACAGATGAATAATATAGACATATTTCAGAGGCACAAGTGAATAAAATATGTTAGTAACATTTTGGTGTGAGCCTTTCCAAACCATTTTAAAGGAATCCTCACTGCAAAATACAAAAATCCTTTACAGTAACAACACGCTGCCCAAACTACCCTGAAATAGTACTTTCTTGTATGCTCTGCACCAATTAAAGTACAACAGAGCTGTACTCTACCATTATTATTCAGATTAACAACTCTCTGTTTAAGCAATGGCTTTAGGGAATGTAGCCTCAATTCCACATTTTCTTGCACATATCTGATTATCTGGATCATTTGCAGACTGGCTTCAGACCTGATGTGGGGAGGTGAACAGCTTTGGTGGCCTTGATGGAAGACCTTTGCTGGGAATTGCATAGGGAAAGTTCTACTAGTTCTTCTGGACTTCTTAGCAGCATGTGATGCTGTCACACATGATAGCCTTCTGAGAGGTTTAGCCAATATAAACTTGGGACAATGCTTTGCAGTTTTATGGGCCTATTTAACTAGAAGAGCATTACTAGAAGATATTGGGGGATGTTTGCTTGGCCCCTTGGCCATGAAGTTCTATTTTATCCCATATATTTCTTAACAGCTGCAGGAAGGAACTGGAAAAGATCATTTGATGTTTTGGAGCTGGATCTCATTATTATGCCGAGAACATCCAGCTCTCTCCTTACTTTTCAACTGATTTCAAGGAAACTGTGGAAGTGCTGAACCAATGCATCAACCTGTTTTGATTGTGATAGTGCCCCTTCCGATGGAAGAGGTATACGATCCCAGCTCTAGAATAGCTCCTGGAAGGCCAATGACCAGCTTAGGGTTGTCTAGCAGACACATCCCCTTCTGGAAAATATAGACTTGGCCACAATGACCCATGCTTTAATCACTTCTTGTCTAGATTACTATAGCATGGTTTATGTGGGGCTTCCCTTCAAAGCCCTCAGAAAATACAGGCAGATACCAGATGGGTATAAAGTTGGTGTTTTTCAGAGCACTTGTCTTGGATCAGTTTCCACATGTCACCATTTTTTTTCTGAGAGTTCTTACATAGAAAGTCCTTACCTATACCTGGTTCTTACCAATAAAGCTCAAAATGGCTTTGGACCCTGGTATGTGAAAAAGCACAATCCCCCATATAAACCTGTCAACCATCTGGAATCATCCTTGGAGGCCCTATCCTATCTCCCACCATTTAGAGAGGACAGACGGATAGGGACTAGAAGAGGACCCTTTTCTCTAGCACACCTGATTATAGAACTCTCAGCCTAGGGAAGGCAGATTAGCTCAGTCTTTAGCATATAAAGTCTTCATTATTCCATCAAGTTTTTAATGGTTCTTAGTGTTGCTCTCTGATGTTATCCACAGGATTTCTGTTCTTATTTGATTGTTCTCCTTTTTATCTTGGCAGATATTGTTGTTTTTATGTGACCTGTAAGTCACTTGAGCACCCAGCAAGCTGTGTGGGGATTCATAAATTGCCCCTTGACCTAGACAGAGTGTTCTCACTGGCAGCTCCCCCATTTTGCAGTGATCTGGGTGAGTTCCCCAACATTATCAACTTTTTATCACCAAGTTAAGACCTTTCTCTATCCTTAGGCATTTGGAAGTATATAAGATTTTTAATGAGGCCAGGCAATTTCTTATTGTTGGCTTTTAAACAATGATGCAGACATGCTTGTGTGCATATGCTGTCTATGTGGCTGCAAGTACAGGTTTTGTGATATGCACAATATTGTATTCTTATACGGTATACAGTTTGAACTGTATATAGAGCTTTGGCTATTGGACAAATGTAGAGAAATGTAACAAATGCAATGAATGACATAATCATATCCCATGAATAATAATGTACAAGCACTGATATCACAGACATGCTAAAAAAAAGTAAAGAAGAGCTTTTTATACATACTGAGCACACAAAGCAGGTGTCATGCCAAGTGTAGCCCAAGGCTTCCAGGAACCTATCCCCAGCTTCAATGGGGAATTCACAGCCATGGCACATGGTACCAAAGAGGGCATAATAATCTGTAATACATATACAAAAAACATGATCATTTTAATCAGCAATGAACTCCAGAGAAGAATAACCACATGGTGTTAGCACACATTGTTGGACTAACATATCACAGTTGATACATTTAAGATGATAAGGATTTAAAGCCTATTGAAGTATTTCCCTATTGAAGTACTCCACTAGGTCTACAAACTGCAAAAGGTGAGCTTAAAGGAAAATAGGAAACATAAGTAGGTGCAATATGAATGGTCATCCTTACCTATTTTAATAATCTATTCAAACACTAAAAAATGAAAGGCTCGATACTAAAGGAAAAAGGCCAAGCTTCCCAGCTCTCATGGATATTTGTGCTAATTTGAAAAGAGGCTCTACTATTTACAGATGTTTTAGAAGTGAGAGGATTCCCTGGAACATGCTTTCACTATCTGAAGACAGCTGTGTAGGCCTCTGTGCTCTCTGATCTCCCCGACTATGCCCCTTATGGGTTCCATAAACTTCCAGGTGTTCCCCTTTTTCTAACTACCAAGTCAACACCAAGTTAGAGTCCAGTGTTCAAATGGAAGCTATTTTCACAGCTCAAAGAGCTTACCAAACTCACATGCTTTGGTACAGAATATTACTCAAACATAATTGTTTTAAAGCTGACAAAATCTCCTCTCCATTTCACAGTATCATATTCGAAATGGGTGCTATGCTTAGTTAACTTGGCTGCTGTTTATAGTTTCAAGAGGTTTACAGGCCTTTCTGCAGAAAACAGAAAACAGTAGTCAGGGAAAGACTGAAAAGCTTCTGTTTTCTTTCCCTTTCAACCTCAGACACACAGTCTAAGATTTTTCTCCTGTTACATTAACCATGGTAACAGCAGCCCAAAGTAATCTGTACACAGAAATTTTACAAAAGACAGGTCAATGATGCACTATTTTCAAGCCTAGACACTCAGTTTGTAGTCTCTGATTCCACCAGTGTCAGCAGAAATTCAACTGATGAGGAACCTAGCTCAAAGGCTCATGGGATACAAGACAACTGCCTTAGCTTAAATATCCAATTATTTTTCTCTAGGGCAGCTTCACTGCTTCTACTCAGTGCTATGCGGTTAGTTGTTAGGTTTGTGCTGCCTTTGAATCTGACTGTCTTTTCTTAGCAACTTCAGAGTTGGAGGAATACTTTGGGTGGCATAGCGATATATTATTCTGTGCCAATAGCATGTCTTTTTGTTTTGCCCACAGAATGGGGAGGATAGGCAAATTACCACTGACTGACTGAGATTTTCTCCTCTTTTTCTTTAAACAAAGAAAGGATCCCAAAAGCAAAAAGAACGAAAAGCAAATGCAGCAGTTTTTAAATTCCGTATTTTCTATTGTTTTGAATAAAATAAGGGGATTGTGAAAGGATTAACATGAACCAGAATTAGGAGAATATTTTTAATGATAATATTCATCCCTGAAGGAAAACCTGTCACAGGCACATTCCCATTTTGACAGTTTAGCAAGACTTCCCTCCAGCTTTCTCACTTTAGTAGGTAATACCTTAAAAGTGGTTATCATGTATAATGAAGGACTGTTTTTACTACAGCACCGAATGCAAAACAAAGGAAGAGAAGCAGCCTATAGGCTGGATCCAAAAAAGTCCCTTTCCCCCTGAGACAATGACCCTATTTCTCTATTTCTAATACTTTCATACTGCTTAAAGTAACACCATCTCCAAAACTGTCAGAAGGCTGTTAGTCAGTGGACTCATTCCATTTGGGTGAATGAGTACAGGGTTAAACTGGAGAGACACTGGGAGTTTATGTATGCCTCACTCAAGGTACACCATCTCTCAGAAAGGCACTTAAATGTGCAAGCATAGTTAGTGCCAGCTCCAGCTTTGTGAAAGCAACCAGGGAAGGCACTGAGCCTCTTCCCTCAATAAATTGGCCTTCTCCTCACCATGTCACATGCAGCAATTGCTCCTCACCACCTTACTTAACAACTGCTCTCACTTGCATGCTGGCACATGGGAAAGTGAATGAATAAGTATGCAGTGGCACCAACTGCTCCTCCTCCTCCTCCTCCTCACCTTCACCATTGTCTGGTCTAAAAGCAGCATGCAAAGGTGGAGTGAGTCCACAGAGCTCTTTTTGGTGGGCTTCTGATGGAGTATGAACCTTTGGTAGGTGTCCAACCATGCCCACTGCCTGCTCACTTCAGAATCTCAGGTGATCACCTGGGAACATTGATGACTGGTGATTCCCTCTACTGGAAGAAGGGAACATTTGGATCTAACCTTATACTAATAACTAAAAAGAATATCAGAAATGAATTAAGCGCCACGTTGTCTGCATTTTCTACCAAATAAGGCACAAAACTCCAAACAGATTTAACTGGGGCAACCCTCACCTTGCAAAGGCTTGATGTGGTCCCATCCCATCATGTGGGACTTATTTTATAAAGTAAAAACTTACCAGTGTTATGAGCAGAAACAATCGGATTGGTTCAAGTGAAATATACAAAGCAATTAGGGAATATGGCCACCATCCTTTCTTCCATCTTTCTGATACAGTTCTCCACTCTCAATACACACCTGTCTCACAGTAGGGATCCCCATCTTCCAAATGGAAAACATTGTTGCGAATCGGTTTGTGACAGGCCACACACACAAAGCAGGACACATGCCAGGTTTGCTTCAAGGCATTTATTACTTCCTAGAGCAGGAAAGGCAAAAATACACCAGGCACAGTAAGATTTGAACTCTCTCTCTCTCTCTATGGAACAGCACACAAACATCAGTCCTGGGCAATGTAGGTCTCACATCCTGGAACTGGTCCTCTCTACAGTTACTTTGCTATGCAAGACAGGAGATGTAAAGCTAGATTGGACTATTCTTCCATGATCCATGAACTGAATGCCTACTCATCAAATGGTGGCACTTATGAATGTCAAGCATTTTTCAGCCTCTGCTTCACACATACATATTTCAGGCTTATCTCTAAGGATTTTCAAGCCTTTTGGGTCAGAGCACATGCCAAGGTTTATTAGTATTACCAATTTCATCAGTTACTGCTTAAGGCTTGATGCAGACATAACATAATGAAATTTAATGGCCACTATGCAAACAGAAAGCAGGCTCCTGAAGCATCACTCAGTCATGTCCAAGATGATGTTATTATCCTACAGTGCACTAAACAACTTGGGACTAGACTATTTAGCAGACCAAATTCTCTGAACTATATACATCTGACCTTTAAGAATGCTCGAGGCAGCCTTGCCGGCCATTTCAAAGCTAACAAAATGCTTCAGACAATTCCGTGACAAAATGGCCTTTTCAGCAGTGGCACCTACCCTTGGAGAATACCTCCTACATGCAGTTTAATAGCCTCCTAAAATGCACAACCCAGGCTTTCCCTAACTTAATCATGTTTATATATTTAACACCTCCTGTATTGTTCTGCATTATCATTATTATTGCCCTTACTGGAATTGTTTTAATGTTGTATTTTAATATTATAATTAAATGTATTTTAAATGCTATGTTAATGTCTGCCACTTTGGAATCTTGAGCCATAAAAATATAACAAATAAATAAATTACATGCTCCATCATGTTCCAAGTAGATTGTATTCACAAAACAAAACAGCTAGTTCTGGCTAGGTTTTCCTACTGCCAGGATCAAACCAGACCTTGATCAGGTATGACATAATTTGTTTCAGAAGAGGGGAAGGCCTGGAGGAAGGAAGGAAATGCATGACACTGCAGTCCACTCTCAATTTTTGTTGTGCCTGTCCTAGTGTTACAGGTGTCAACAACCACTCCAAAACCTCTTTAACATTTTGCCTTATTACTTACTCCAAGTATTTTCCTCTGGCATCGGGCACATTCAGGTGCAAAGAACTTCTCATAGCAGCCCTCACAGTAAAGGGCTCCTTTCTCTTCCACAAAGCCGATGTAAGCCATTGAGGTTTTGCAGTGGGCACAATTAAACTCTTCTGGGTGCCAAGACTTGCCCAAGGCCACCAGGAAAGGGCCCCTGTTTTAAACAAAAACATTATTCAATGCTATGCAAGTAACTGTTTAATGTTAATGAGACTGAGACCTAGTGAATTAATGTTAATTGTTTTAGCAGTTTTAGTGTATCTGATCTTGTATTTTATATGCTGTGTTTTAGGCTTTACATTTTTCTGAGCTGCCTGGAGAACTATGGCTATTGGGCAGTGTAAGAAAGTAAGGAATGGGGAAGTCACTCCTATTAGCACAAAATTTCAAGCTTAGAAGGGCAGAGTACTGGGAATACTGCAAATATTACTATGAAAGCAAAATTGATCCCTATACTTTATTCTGAAAAGATAAAAGTTGTACTGGAATTCTTTTTCTTTAGTCAAGGTTTTGAATAAATTTAACTACATTTCAATACCCACTTCAATATTTAAAAAGAAGGCATTTAATGAATATTTACATCTCTTCAAAACTGTCTCCTGAAGAAATTAAACATTGAAGGGGTACAGTTTTGTAGAACAGGAATTACAGATGAAAGTGAAACCAAGTTGAAAATGTGAGCTACTGAAGTTTCAAAAATGAGACAATATGGAATGGAAAACTATGACTTAACTCAATGCTTCACCTTCAAATAGAATATTCATTTGTAAAATGAAACATAAACATAATATTTCAGATAAAGAATGCTGCAGTTCAAGATAAAGCCCAAATTTCAAATTGTGAAATTTGGTTGTATTACACAACCTATCTGCATATCTGATTTAAAATTCTTAAAACATATTAATCCAGATTCTAGTCAACTTCCATTTATTTACATGTTTTTGGTTAACTATTTTTCTTTACCAAAAAAATCCTGGATCTTTTCAAGCTCTATAAAATCTGAAGCATCTTAAGTAAATGCTCTAGAACATAATGCAATGGGTTGAAAAAATATTTTTAAAAAATCCTTCATGCATCTTAAGAAATCGGACTAGTAATTTAAAAACACCCCTGCTGCTCTGTGGTTAGCTGAACAGTGAAAACACTGACCTAACTTGATACCCTCCAACCTCTGTACAAGCACCTTTTTACATCAATGCCCTTTCAGTTATGTAGTAATCTAACAATACAAGTCCTTATGTACAACAAAGTGCTCTCTTCTCACTGTGTCAGCACAGGCTAATTTACCAGACTCATTAGGAAAGGACCGACACTAAAGAGGTTCTTCTGGCCCCAGGTAGGATCATGTTTCCAATTGTCTGCTCTAAAATGATAGACTTGGATGTGAATGAAGTATGGTTTTGTGAGGTGGGGGGATTTTTATACCACCTGTTACATTTAGCAAAGAATTCTTATACTTGCTATGTTTACAGTTCCTGGAGTTGTTTTACAGTTTTGACCTCTTGATGCAAACTTTCAAGGCATCCTAAAATGCCCAAAGTAAAGAAAATAAATGCTTATCTTCAGATAGTTCACTATATTCCAAGTATTTTAGCAAATTCAGCAGGTTAAATTAGTGTATTTATAACATAATCCTATGCATGTTTAGATGTTTTAAAAAGTCCTCTAGCTCCCAGAATACCCCAGTCTGCACAGGTTACGCACATACAGTTGTACCCATAATGCATCGAACAAAGATTTTACAAATTTGGAGTTCAATAATTGTGTGAGCCTAAAGAAATGTGAATTGCAGCAAAGGCAAAGGAAGCATCATTTAAGAACTGGTTGTCACCCAGAAAATTAACAATAAAAATGGGACCCATGTCTAAGTATACTTGTTTAAGATCAGCAAAAAGTCAGTTTAGGTTGATATCCTAACTATGAACCTTTCCATGAAGGATAGCTACAGTTATCCATGCTCTGGTGGCCTCTGATTTGGATTACTGTCCAGAAACATTAGCTGGTCCAAAGGAAGGAAACAATATTGTTAACAGGGACTGACCAATAGGATCATAGTGCTTTATGATCTAGCCTGGCCATTTCTGGGCCAAATTCAAATCTTAGCTTACAAATCCCAAAGCAGCTTGAAGATCGACTACATGAAGACAGTCTCCTCCCATATATTCTTGCCTAAACCCCAAGATCATTCTTGAAACAGTTCTCCAGGTGCTTCTGTGGAATGAGGTGAAGTGAAAGACTGGCATCTCTGGAACAGTCATTCCACAATCACCTCTGAAAAGGCCTTTTCCTTCGTAGCCCAGCAGCATGCTTTATTACAGTCTTTTCAGTAATGGGTGAAAATCTTTTTTTTTTTTTCCACAGGCTTATTTATCCCATCTCTTTTTAAAGTTGTGTTAGACTATTTTCAGAGTTTTGTATTGCTGTTTGGTTTTTATTTTGGTTACTTCTTTAGTATTATTTTGCTTTAAACTTCATGTTTTACATTGTTTTACTATGTTACTGGCTTTTTGATTTTAAACTTTGGCTTCACACTGCCTAGAGACCTTTGGCTAATGGACAGCATAGAGATGCAACAGATAAATAAGTCCCTGAAATATTTTTCCTGGTAGCAGAACTATCATCAGGTATAGAATGGTTCCTGTGATCTCCATTGGCTCAGGAACCTAAATAGTTTGGAGGATGCACAAGACCAGTTACATTATGCACTTTCTATTACTGTGGCCAGTTTTAACAACTGAATTTTTAGACACCCTCCCATATAGTCAATAAGAACTGCACACTTTTCGGACTCGTATTGTTCGAGTACTTCAATCACTGAAAGGAAAAAGATGCTTGTTGGAGAGTATCACGTTAGGTCAGTGCTTGCATTGCTCAGCTAACCACAAGACTGGAGTGGGGGATGCTTAGAGGCCTAGTCTGATTTCTTACAGGTGCATGAAGACTTCATCTTAATATTTATTTTTATACTGCATTATGTTTCCATTTTCTTTTTCAGGGCATTTTTTCTCTGTTAACTTCTAATTTATCTTACGTGGTGGTGGATTTGCTTTCTTGGTAAATGACAAATGTAAGAAAAGTGAGAAAAAGAATTTATACAAATTCATACTTTGAAACAAACAAACCTCTCCTCTTATATGTAAGCCACGCAAAAATACATGAATAACAGTGACCCTTGGAATACAAATGTGGTTCTGAAAGTGACAGCTGATTAAGTTATTGTGACATCAAAGACATAGTAAGGGTCCTTAGAGGAGGTCAATGTTCTATTAGATTGACACTGCAAATCTTCCACCCATATATGGAAAAACAGAGTTTGAGTTTTGATCCAAAGGAGAGAATGAGGGAAAGGCGAGGGGGGAATGTAACAAAACCCAGAAAAGTATCAAAGCCTTTAGAAGATAAAGATATCCATAATTAAAGATATAAATTAAAAAGTTATAAGATGGCCTCTTTTAAATTTTGGGAGCTTCCACATCATGGTTATTTTATGCCTTAGTGTAAAGTAACCAGGTCTACAGTGTGGTTTGGCTGCAAAACAGGTGTGCTGTAGAATGTCACTTGATCCAGCTCTTACTTTTACATAGGTAATACTGCCTGAAAGGGCATGAACTGTAATTATGCTAAAACCTCAACCCTGAAGACTACCGTAAGCTTCCCAAAGCACTGTAGCACAAAAGCATAAGGAGAACATTACATATTCATTAAAATATTGTTCTGTGCTTTCCATGCATGTCACTATCAGGAGGAAGCTGTGACACAGCTGCAGGACCTCACAAACACTCACTGACAACAGCAGTCAGGCATGGTTGCTGATCAGCTCTCTAGGATCTTCCTAATGGAATCGCGCAGCTCTCCATCCTGTTTCTATAGCATATGATCACTACTTTCTGATTATTTGGGGCAGATTATTGTATCCTATATCTTTTCCATTGTGCTGTGTACTAACATTTATTTGCATACACACTGTTCTTATTTTTGCATTATTTCAACATATGTTTATATTTTGTTTTATGATCTGTACTAAAAATGATGATGAGAACGTCAGGTACATTCTGTTAACAATGACCCACAGGTGGATTGTTATGTTTTATTTACACAGCTACTATTATATATCGCCTAAACACAGTTGGAGTTAAAGTATAAGATGGCCAATTCAGGAAGACTAAGGTCAAAAGGTCCTTTCAGCTGGTTTGGGAGGTCCATCATTGACAAAGTTAGGTTCACCAAAAACACACTACAGTATCCCATGGAGCTGGTATGGGAGCAGCAAGTCCACCAATCCTATTCTATACGTGGCTCCCAACACTCACGTAGAAGGGAGAATTCACACTACTGGGAAAAACCTGAAAAGAACTTGGCAGGCCCATGTATTGCTAAATCTCCATTCTGCAATTGGAAGGTATTGCTTGCGGATGGGAATTGGCAGGGCCAAGCACTCGTGGAAAAGAAGCAGTGGCAGGCCCCACTGGTAGACAGGTAGCTTAGGACACTGCCTTGAGGGCCACCTTCAGTGACTGTACTACGTAAGAAGAGAGTGATGCTATATAGGATGCTACTCGGAGATAGTACATCATTACCACTTTGCCTCTAGAGCAGTGATGGAGAACATTTTAGAGACAGAGTGCCCAAACTGCAACCCAAATGCCCACTTATTTATCACAAAGTGCAACACTACAATAAAACCTGAAACCTGAGGTTTTACTTTAGAAAAAACCACTCACACCAAGTCCAAACAAATATGTATATACCCTTGGAAGCGCACTGACCGGCCATGGGAAAGCTCTGAGGAATCAGGGCTAATGAGTAGAGGCTTGTGACACCATCGATTGGCACCACGACTCCTTTCCGAGCGTGTGCACGGCCCCAGTGTGCGCTATTAACGGATGCTCAGCTGAAAGGACGACAAAGCTCACATGGTGACAGACACAGCTCTATGTGTGCACTGTGACCTGTGTGACATGGGTTAGCACCCACTGGCCTATGCCTACCCTTGTACACAACATTAACCCAAATAGAGAGGTAATAGAGCATTCAAAATAATGTGAATTTGAAAAAGCATTCCATGAGCAGCTTCTTCTGCACAGCTCATCATGTTTGCCCAATCTAAAAACATTCCACCCAAAAAAGTTATGCCAGGACACCTTGTTTCTCTAACATTAACCCTACCCTGGTGCACCCCTAACCCTAATACAGAGGAAAAGTTTCACTGAAAAAAAAGGGATTTTGAAAAAGCCTTCCTTGTGCAGCTCTTTCTGAAAAGCTCATCATTTCTGCCCATTGTAAACACATTCCAGCCATCAACATCATGCCAGGACACCTCATTTTTCTAACCCTAACCCTACCCTGGTGCACATCGCTAACCCTACTTCAGGGAAGAAGTTACATGGAAAATACTGCGATTTTAAAAACGTGTTCTTAAGGTAGATTTTTCTGCACAACTCATCATTTCTGAAGGTTCTAAGCACATTCCAGCCATCAAAATCATGCTAGGATACCTCGTTTTTCTAACCCTAACCCTACCCTGGTGCACACCCCTAACCCTAATAGACGGGAGAAGTTACATGGAAAATACTGCGATTTTTAAGATGTGTTCTTAAGGTAGATTTTTCTGCACTTCTCATCATGTCTGAAGGTTTGAAGCACCTTCCAGCCATCAAAATCATGCTAGGATACCTCGTTTTTCTAACCGTAACCCTACCCTGGTGCACACCCCTAACCCTAATACAGGGGGGAGAAGTTATATTGAGAATAATGCTATTTGGAAAAAGCCTTCCTTGAGTAGCTTTTTTTGCCCAGCACCTCATTTCTGCCCCTTCTAAGTATATTCCAGCCATCAAAATCATGCTAGGATAGCTTGTTTTTCTAACCCTAATCCTACCCTGGTGCATACCCCTAACCCTAATACATGGGAGCAGTTCCATTGAAAATACTGCTGTTTTGAAAATGCCTTCTTCGAGTAGCTTTTTCTTCACAGCTCTTGATTTCTTAAGGTTGCAAGCATATTCCAGCCATCAAAATCATGCTAGGATAGCTACTTTTTCTAACCCTAACCCTACCCTGGTGCACACCCCTAAGTCTAATACAGGGGAGAAGTTGCATTGAAAAAAATGCGATTTGGAAAAAGCCTTCCTTGAGTAGCTTTTTTTGCACAGCTCATTATTTCTGCCTGTTCTATCCATATTCCAACCATGAAAACCAGTCCAGAACACTGTGTTCTTTTAACCGTAACCCAGTGTTGAACCTTTTAGAGACTGCATCCCCGAATCCACTCAGTTATCGCAAAGTGCCAGCACTGCAATAAAATCGGAATACTGAGGTTTAAATTTAGTAAATACAATTTACAGCCAGTCCAAGCAAATATATCTATATTCTTTGCAGCCACTGACTGGACATGCAAAATATCGGACGAATTGCGGCTAATGAGTCTTGGCTAGTGATGCTATTACTTGGTGCCACTACTCCTTTCTGGGCATGCTCATGGTCCCTATGTCCCCTGTTATCCGATGCTCGGTTGCTGGGGTCATCCTTGGGCGACCTGGCTCTCTTGCCAGCAGAGAGGCCTCTGCTTGCCTGCTGTGGCACGCATGCCATAGGTTCGCCATCACTGCTCTAGAGTATTTTAATACAATACCTGTTTGCATATGAAGACTCCTGAAAGGCTTTAGAATATGGCAGCCAACTTCCTGAGAGGCCTGTGTAAGTCCTGGTGTAACAATGATTCAACTTTTATTTACTGCCATCTAAGTTTGATATGGCTGGTGTTCTTTTGTTCTCTTTTAGTATCTCCGGCTTTAAAAAATATTTGCTATCACTTATTCTTTGTTTCATTTCCATAGCTCCTACTATTTGCCTTCCAACCCATTTATCTTCTAGGTCTCATTGCTATGAATGCTGAACCCAGCCAATATTTACTTATTTGCTTCAAGTTTCATTTTTAGGGCTCCTTTCATTATATCAGTTTCAAAAAAGTATCTAAAGCTACTGGGAGTGTCCGATGTGTTATTGATTCCATTTAATATGGTTCAAATTTACATTATCGAAGTTCCCTCCTCCTTGTGTCCAGGATATCATTTAATACAGTGCTGTGTCGTTGTTTCCAATTTCAGTAGAAAGATGAGAAAGATGCAACAAACAAAAGGTTTAAAATGGTGTCTGTAACATTATTGCAGCTTACAAATTATTATATTCTGTCTCAAGGACAGTCCCTCTGTCTATGGAATACTTAGATGTAGGAATCTTATGAATTGATGAGAAAGCCCTTAGCACCCGGCAAAGGACCACCTAATCTGGCCTGTGGGCAACTACTTGAGGCAGAGTTGCCTTCCAGCTCTGGAAGTCTTTGCCAGTAGATTTCGCTGTTCCCAGCACAACTGGGAACACAACCCACAATTCATTTATTCAAGCTCTGTGGGTAGGCAAGTGATTTATCTGTTTTGGGTGTTGTAGCTGATGCTTGTTCATCTATAATTTTAGAGTTAGGATTTAGCGGTGTTCATGGGTTGTATTGATTTCATATAAGTAGCTAGCTGCCTTGGACTCCTTGCAAGGAAGGGTAGGATATAAATAAATAAATAAATAATCCTGTGTAAGACAAATAGCAAAGGGGAAGTAGTACAAACCTGATCACTTGATTGCACTGAGCACACATTGGAGTTCGCTTTCCAGCCGGAATATGCTCTGCTCTCTGAACCAAAGTGTTTTCATCTGTTAGTGGCGCTGGTGCTGAAGCTTTTTCAGTTGTTCCAGGTCTTGCACTATTGTTCGATGTCAATCCACTTCCAGCTGCCATAAAAAGGAAAGCTGTAACTATATTTGCAACAACACATACCAGTAACTTCATAAAGTTTTTTGGGGGAAAAATGTGTAAAAATTGTTTTTTCTTCAGACAACTCTAGACAAAAATGAAAGCATACTGATACGTTTACCTCCACTTATATAATTGGATGTTAGGTTGTTCCAGATGAAGACTATTGTGTTTAACTGCCTCTTTGGAACATGGTACTACTACAAGCTGAAATCCTATAATCATTTATCTAGGATCAAGCCCTCAATGAGATTTACTGTTGAATAGGCAATATATGAATGCAACATTAAATGACCATGTTGTAATTGGTATGATCATGACTACTTGCCAGTGTAAAGCTTTAAAAATAAATCAAGTCTTCATTTTTTTGTTACAAATTCAAGCTATTTGGTTCAAATAAGTTGTATATGACAAAACCTAGAATATTATCCTAACACTGTAAATAAACATAACCCTATCACAAACAATCACTTTAGAATATGCTGCCACATTCAATTCAAGTCGATTGCAGATATGTCAATGACTTAAAATGAGAAATGGGTAACATCCATCTTCATTGCTACTATAAGTCTGCTATATGTCTAATATTAGAAACTGCAAGCTAGTTTCTGATTGCTTATTATCTTGCTGTTGGCTAATATATACCTCTAAAAACAGAGCTTTAGAATAGATTGTGAGCAACTGTACTCATATATCATTTGAATGCTAGCAAAGAAGAACTCAATAGCAAAACACCACCAAAAGACAATACATACAACTTTTAAGCCAATAAATGACAGGTGACAGGTATGCTACCTTGATACATGTACAAAGGCAGTGCAAATACAAACCCATAAAGTATAAAAGACAAAAGTTTTTATGAAGCCCATCAAGGAGGGCTATAGTATTTCTGCCATCATATTAAAAATATGCTAGTTTCCTTCTCTGCATGACCCATTATCAAGAAGAAATCCTTGCAAAATAGGTGTGCTCCTCCCTCCATTGAAAAATGTATCCTGAGGTGCATTGCGCAATATTGCATAAGAAGAATGAACTCAGTGTTGCCAGGCCAACAGAAGCGAAGCCAAAACAGGACCACTAAGAAACAAGAGGCAGGTATTAGCACGCTTGGAGAAACTCCAAGATTTGCATAAGTACAAATCAAGGAAAACACCATATAAGACAGTCCAATGAAGATAGAAGAGGAAGGGTGAAAACCTGTCAGTTAGAAAAGGAAAAGACCATGAACACAGTCCTTTGCAACTCGCAAAGCTGCCTAGAACCCTGAACAGAAGAAGCCCTTCTGTTAGGTGTGAGGATATACTGCGACATTCAGTTGCAGGGTTCAGTTGCACTGCATAAATCTTTCAGTAAAAGCATCTTGCACATTTAAGAATGGCCAGGCAAAAATCCTTCAGAATCCAACATGCTTATCCCAGAGCCTGCAAGCAGGACCTAAGCACAATAGCATTTCTGCGTCCCCTAGCAATTGCATACTGACTCCGATAACTGAAGCTAATACACAGCAGCATGATCAGTAGCTACTCATGAATCTTACCTTCTTTTTTTCATTTTTTAAAGAAAAAATATGCTGTTTTCAAAGAAAGATCAAGATGGCATACCAGTCCATCTGCAAAAATATCAGTTTAGCCCTCAGATCTTAAAAGATTAGCAGTGTGGTATCTGCTGAAAGGTTATGACCAATTAGTAGTGGAGCTTTCTCTCAAGTAGAGGATATATGATTGAATCTAGTTAAATTGAACCTAAATGAGTCCTACCTAATTTTCAAACTGATAACTTTTATTCTGCATTCTTTCTACAGGAAGAACAAATGCAACCACTTCTTTTCCCTGTCATAGTTGCCTGCTTGTTTTAAGTCTCTCGGCAGTCAAATGCATTACTGTGTATTTACCTCTATCCCCTCTCTTTCACTTATACCACTGAAAGGTTGTGTTAGTCACACACACTTTCTGTCCAATTAAATTACAAAGTTTAACTAAAGAGAGTTATGACAGTTTGGTGATAAAGCTGACACCTTTTTGAAATGTTTCCATAAGAGTAAGGCTAGAGGAAGCTTATTAAGATTCTGTCATGACTTCCTGTATCCACCCCCACCCCCGCCGTTACCTGGATTTACAAGACATGAGAAAAACACACATGTCCAACAAATTACAATAGGAGTCTCGTGGTGTGTGTGCGTGGAGACGTGACCCAGAAAATCTTAAGTTCTTCATCTTCATGAAAAATAGCACCATTTGTAAGCTGTTATCTTTTATCTCCAAAGCACTTCACCATGACTGAGTGATTACTCTCTGGCAGTTTATTTTTCATTATAAATGTGGCTCAAGTCTACAAATAATTGCAGATAACAGAGGTAGAGGAGAGAAGGAAAAACCTCTCTGTGTGTTGGTGGCACTTTTGACAAATTGCACTTTTGAGCGTACCTCCCAGCATTTAGCGCTTGGTTTTCAGGTATCAGCTAACAGGACGATTGTTGGATACTCTTTGAAGCAAATGCATATTTGTAGTTTTCGCCTACCTTCAACAGTGCTAAAAGTGTTCCAAATGCAGCAGCTAACTATTTTCACTGTGTTTATTCTTTCCATATTTGTACTTGTCCATTTAAAGGGTAGAACTTCTCACCTGGGAGTGACAAGTTTAACTTCTAGAACAACTTTCAAGGGCTTGTATATTCAGGTGAAGGGACTAAGCCATGGCACAAGTTAAGCTGAGCCTGGCTCAACATTTTTTCTAACTTGATCAATCCCCTTGGTTTTCCTTGGTTTTTGGTCAACACCTTGAACTGAAAATGCACAAGCTGATTAACACAGAGTACTGTGAGTTTTCAGTTCCTGGATCACTGAAACAGATGTATAATCCCATGCAGAAAATGACTCCAAGGCCATAATATCAGGCCTTATAATTCCTACACTCTGCTTAAGAAAAAGGATTGGATTTGGGGGAATTGAATTCTTCAGGTGGACTGGCAAAGTCAGGTTTTGCAATCAGAGAAAGTAGTATCTTACTTCTCAGTTAATGAATTCGGAAAAGCACTAGCTAATATTTTGGAGTTTAATGTTTGGTCACTTTTTCAGAAGAAGAAATAAAATAGCCTTGCTTTTGTCATTAAATGGGCAGCGCATCAAGGGACTGTCCCTATAGTTAAAAATAGAAATTTATATCAGAATCTAGTAACAGCACTCTGCAGTAAGATGAACCTCAGCAAACAGTGCCTGCTTTAGATTTTACATCAGAAGCAAGAATTCTGACCTGAAATTCACCCTATCATCATCTGCTGCTCAGCCAGAAACTCCAACAGATGTTCTCTTTTCCAGTGCAACAACCACACATTTTATTGTGTGCCACCCTGGTGTCAAGATGACAGTTCCTACTTGAGAAAGAAGAGCAAGGCATATCCCTCAATCTGTGATCCACTAAAGCTTTTAGGAAGCAATCCTAGGCGTTACTCCCTCCGTGCTGAGAGCAAGCAGGATGGAAGGCCTTGGCAAGCGTTTCCACGGAACACCAGCTGTGTCACAGTTGCCGATTCAGATCCGGAGGACAAGGAATATTTCAGTGGCATTGAGAAGCATGGGTTTGCTCAAGGTCCTGAGATCCAGCAGCGGGAGGAGGTGGAGGAGATTAGCTCAAGGGCATGCTGCAGCACGGCAGACAGATCCTGGGAATGCATCGACATGCAACTACTAGGAGGGGTTGCTGAAAAGAATTTCCAGACAGACCATCTGCCTCCTTCGGAGCTGAACCCCACGGCTAGGTGCCAGCAGAGGACAGAGTCCCAGTTAGACGAGAAGTGTGTAGAAAGGAGGTCCCTGCCTTTCAGAGTCCCTGCCTCAAGGTTGAGGCACAAACATGTCCATAAGGAGACTTCTTGGAGGCAATCCCTAGACTGGGTACAACAAATGGCTCTGTGCATGCTCAGAGTCACTCAGGGTGATTTTTTACTGGAAGTAATCAAGAATGTAAGATAAATGGACTGGGTCTGGTGTTTTGTCAAAGGGGGAACCTTGGCTCACAACATTCAGTGCTTTTAGGCCTACAAACTCAGAGGCTTACAACTAGCTTGTTCAGAGGAGGGGAAACAGCAGATGTGATTTCTGCTTGTACTTCCACCCATTCTGCAAGTGATACTTTCAAGTGGAAGGGTAGGAACCAAGCGAAGTAGAAAGAGCAACCTTAGAGGAAGGGTGCAATGGACAGAGAGAAGACAGCGGGGTTACCAGGCTATCTGACAACATTACAGTCTGGCAACTGTAGCTTTTTCCCATGCTTGCTGAAGGGTTGGGGGTTGAAACTCTGCTTCTGTCCTAAAAACTGAAGAATTCTGTGGTTCCTTAGGTTCTGTCTAAGGGCCATTGCATTACTCTCTTTTCCCAATGCATACAGGAGGGAGGGAGGGAGGGGGGGAGAGAGAGAGAGAGAGAGAGTTGTCCATGCACACATGAATATGCAAGTTCATCTCTGTCTTGACATCAGCCTCATACAGCATGGTTCCAGAGGTGCTGCCAGCTGTGTTATAGCACAGAACAGTAGCCAGTATTTGAGAAAAATAAATATTCTGCTGTGAACTTATGGTATCAAGCATGCATCTTGCTGCTCCTGCAGATTTTAAGTCATCCAAAGTAGCTAGGTGGCTCTAACCATCTCCTTATCCATCCTGGACTGCAAATTCATTCCATACTAAGTGTCTAGTTACTCCACTGACATCATTCCATTCACTCCATGATTTTTAATTGGCTAGGATTATTCAGGAAGCATATTCTGGAAACAAGAAGCAATAACCTGGAAGAAAACAATAGCTAATCCAATAGTTGATTGGACTAAAATGTATTGTTGCTATTATTATTAATATTCCTATTTTTATGCCACTATTCTGAACATGAAGGAGAATCAGGAGAATACTCAGGACAGCCTAAGTTTAATTAGCAACATATCCTAACACTGTCCACAAATAATTAATTGAAATGCAAGTGAACTACTG